TTTTGCACAGCATCAATGTTTTCTGATATAACAACTGATTTTGGACGACCTTCACGACTTTCGTCAATTTGTCAATTGTAGCCTGAAAAATCATGTACACCGTCTCTAAAAATATGAAATAGAAAAACTATATATAATAATGGACTCTTTACGATTAAAAAATTAAATTTAAAATTTAAATTAAAATCTAAGAATATGGTTTCAATAATTCATATGCATGATATGAAGTAATTAAATTGCAAACATGTTTACAGTTTGATTACCTCATATTATACAGTTTTTTGTATCTTATCATTAATCATCCTGCCTAGTATGCCTACGTCAAACGCTTATGTTGTAAAGTGCATCTTCCTTTTTTGTATGTTACTCTCAAGTTAAAAACTTGGAATAAAGCGGAAAAATGTTTCAAATATCCACTTTCAGAATCTTTTGCATAATAATTATAAAACGTCATTTTTTTTAAGCAAACAAAATTTTTGTTAATTTTTTGAAAATTGTAAAGTAAGATAATCCCTTAATGCGCATAATACTTAACACATGACTGTATATTACACATTACAATATGACAGATTATATAATACTACACTGAGAAAAAAATTTGTTCAACTAACTAAACATATTTAGTTGTGTGTGTGTTTGCAGATTTGGTTAATTCAACAAATTTTATTGAATCGAATTTAACCGTAGTCTGTTTAACATTGAACAGCTTGCTAAGCAGACTAAGGTTAAATTCAATTAAATAAAATTTGTTAAAATAACCAAATCTGCAAACAACTAAATGTGTTCAGTTAGTTGAACAAATTTTTTTTTCAGTGTAATATTATATAATCTGTCATATTATAATGTGTAATATATGCAGTCATGTGTTAAGTATTATGCGCATTATCAAATATCAAATTCGCATCATTATTTGTAACAGCAGTGCTTCAAGAAAGAATAATTACAGCTTGTGCAACTTTGGATCAAAGTGATATAATAGCTGCTACGCATAGTAATTTGTTGAGAAGGACAGAACTTTGTATTGCAAAAGGAAGCAAGCAATTTGAACATTTGCTTACATAAGTTATAGTTGTTCTTTATTGATTTATGCTTTTAATAGTATTCTTTACTAATGGATATTTATGATGCCTACGTACATTTATGTACTTATCTAATAAAATATGCAATAAAATCAATACAACATCAATAAAGGTGACATTTCGGTAACGATTTGATTCGTCTTGAAGATCTCTACAATATTATGGAAAAAAAAATTGTATGATCGTTTAAAAAATTTAAGATGATTTTGATTCTTTATGAAAAAAAATTTTTTTTAAATATTTTTTATTGCATGTTGTAGCCTGAAATGAAACAGATAAATATTCACCTTTCAACTTTTTTTTGAACCGTCGGAAATGTCCGAAAAGTCGTGCGAACCGTTGAAACACCCTTAATTTAATTTTTAATTATCCCATATGTGATTGTGCGCCGAAACGTTTGGATTTTAAACACAATCGATCTGAGACACTAATAATATATATATTATAAGGCGTCGAAACATTCGAACATTCCCATATAAAATAATCCCCTCTAAATAAATTAGAAGAAACAGTAAAGAATTTATTGACAAAAAATATAATTTAATCTAAACCTATTTCTAACTTAAAACTAAAGTTAGATTACAATTTTTTCGAGGGAGAAGTGCAGAGTAAAAGGCGGTATCTATACATTATACTGATAAATTATGTTTAAGTTTAAAGTAATTTAAAGTTAATAAAATATTTACATTACACTTAAAATATTATAAATATTATTATAAAATATATTATAAAAAGTAATCGATGAGATGTAACCTTCCAAAAAATTTTATAATATTTTTATCGCAGCAATACTTTACAGCACTTTACAAATTTCATAAAAAAAAATATCATTTATAAATTCTAATAAAAGAATAATAAAATTTATAGATATATATTTTTATACGAATTATTTTAAGGTAGTAACGTGATTTACATTTCAAAATAATTAAAACAAAGCAAATCTAATCGTCATATATCACATAAAAATTTCCATCCATATATTTATTACATAAAAAGTATAAATATTAATTTAATGATATAATGTATGTACTTTTTTGTTCCCCTCACATATAAAATTTTGTAATATTCTTGAAAAAAAGTTATATATCAGATTCGATTTAAAATTCAATATTTTACAAACTTTTTTTAAAAATAATTCCATTTACATTCAGTAAATTCCATTATTAAGCTGACTCATTTCAGATTATATTAACGTATAACAATAATATAATGTTGCGTGTGTATATTTTTTGTGATTGGCGTTTTAATTTTATAATATATAATGAAAAAATTAATTCTAAGAATCGTTAATAATGCTAATATCTTCTTTTTTCCTGACTAAAAACAAAAAAATATAAGTTGCGTAATAATGAATTATAAGTTACAAGAATAGCAAAATGAGAAATATACTATTCACACTTTATTTTTATTGATAAATAGGTGTATTTAGCATGTAATTTATGTTACACATACTACAGAAACTTAGACTTAAATACACGTATTTATCAAAAGTGACGAACTTTAAAATCTTATATCAATCAATCAATTCATTTTTTTCTACACATTTACGTATTTATATGTTAATCGAGGATATATAAAGATTTCAATCTTGAAAGTCCAATTAGTTCTACCTGAAGAATCAAAACGTTGAAGTTATTTCTCAGGTGAGAAAAATTAATCAAGTACGAAAAACAATTATAAAACTACTCGAGGTAAATTAGAGATAAATTACGTCTTTTCAAAATTTGTTTTCATAATTTTACGGATAGATTTGCGTTTACATAATGCGCGTTGAATAGTACGATAGTCCTTCATATCAATAGTAAGACGTGCAACAAATAAAGCTGCTGTGATCCCTTGAATACGCTCACACGCAATCCACGACAACAAAGCCGATTAATTATATTTTGCTGAATTAACATACACGGTACGAAGATTGCATCGCTACCGCATCGAGGATGAGGCCCACATGTTCCGTTCAATATCTCCGTTTAATTCAGGGACTCGATTATCATCGTTTTCTATCACGAATTAAAAGCAATCGCGAAGCGACAAGATAATAGAAACATTCGTGATATCTCGCTTTTCCAATACACGGTATTCCTAGTCGCATTTCTTTAAAATGAAACTGCACATCGTACATACATATATGATACATCGACTTGAAAAATCTAAAATCAGGGATAAAATGGTAAAACTCATAGTGTCGCGATTATTTCAAAGATTTAGTAGTTGAAATAGTTGTTGTAAATAATACAATGATATAAAAATAGAAATATATAATGATATTATATTTAAAAATAAATATATGTAGAGCATACAGCCACCGCGCAAGATGTATTTAGCGAAAGTCGCATATTTAAAATTTTCAAGATTAACAAAGTCTCTCACCATCAAATAGACCACGATCATAGGCTTGACTGGCATAATACTAAAATTCTGTAGGATTTAGAACAGAGTCATATTATAAAAGAATGGTTTCCGATATGATAGAAAGATAAAAAGTAGGTTTGAATAAACAAAGCGATACAGAACGCTTTCTCGATATCTATCTATCTATAATTCGTAACAGTCCCTCTCCTCACTGATAAATTATTTTGCATCTTCCATACGTTTTCCTCTCCTTTCCTTACAATAAGTATAAATACTGTCGCACAATAAACTGATAATGTACTGCTATTACACTGTATCAAAAATAATTCTTACCATCAAAAATTTTCATCAAATTCTATACTTTGAATTAAAAATACCGAATTATACTTGTTACGAAGAATCGTTATCACAAAATACGGGTAAACTGTATCTATAATAAATATAAACTGAATCTTATAATTAAAATTCACTACAATAGATCAAAAAGGAATGCAAATATTAAAAATTTTTTTTATTAGAATCTGGAAATCCTGTATTTATCGTATAGTGACTTAGAAAAAGATCAAATTAATAAGGAACTTACGCGCAAAAGTTCTTTTCAAAATCAATTAAGCTTATTGTAATATTATGTTACCGTCACATCTGGAATAGCGAATTTATACAAACATTCAAACAAAAATTTTTTACCATGTAACATCTTTTATAATATTCGTATTGTGACTGATGGTCAAGACTTGACCGAGAACGTCTATCTTGTTACCTTGAAAAATTTAAATATACGATTTTTGCTAAATACATCTTGCATTGTGGCTATGTATGCTCTTTATTATTTATGTTTGTATCATCAAGTCACCTCTAAAAGCAACCTTTTAAATATACATACATACATAGTATAGCAATAGAAACTATCAAACCGATATGACAATACATATTTTACAAACAAATATATATTAGGTGCGCAACTAAGTTCCCGCTGTTTGTCAATAGATGGTTCCAGCAGTAAGTGCTGGTCGATTCTGACATAATCTAAACGTCATGAACCAAGCTTAGACATATGGTAAACAAACCGCTTCGACACATTAGTGATTTTGTTTTGACGTTATATTCTTTTGGTTGTGTGAAAATGTCTGATTTTGTGCCAAATAATCGTCATATGCGGGAAGTATTGATTTTCTTCTTTCATTCGAAGAAAACGGCGGCTGAAGCGCATCGAGAGCTCCAAAAAGTTTACGGAGATGCTGCTCTAAGTGAAACAACGTGCCGAGATTGGTTCCGTCGCTTCAAAGACGGTGATTTCGATGTTGACGACCGTCCGCGTGAAGGAAGGCCAAAAACCTTCGAAGACGCTGAATT